CCTCCTCCTCCTCCTCCTCCTCCTCCTCCTCCTTATTTTTCTTCCCCTGTTGAGTCCCGTCTGAGTTGCCCAGTTAGTATTAGGAGTGGGCCCTGGCCTGGTATGTAGTCAACCTTTGAGAGGTCACATCATTAAAACAAAACAAAACAAACAAACAAACAAACAAAACCTGACTCTCACTCTCCCAACTACAATCAAATGCCGGTAGCTCCTCAGATGGTGGTAGGATTTCCTGTCCAACTTTCCCAGCTCTGGGCTGGATTTTTTTCTGGGTGGAGTATGTTCACAATCCCCATGAGTTCGTAAGTTCTTCTCCCTGCTGCTCTTGGAACTAGTGTTTCATTGATGTCATTGACCATTCCTGGCTCTTCCATTCTTTCTGCTCTCTTCATGATGAAGATCCTGGTGGAAAGAGAGAGGGGTGATAGTAGTGTCCCATTAGTGTCCCCTTCAGGGCTGGGCACTGTACAGTCCTTCATTCTCTTACTGCTGTCTGCATGCATTGCTCCATCTCACCCTCCAGTTACATACTCTCCATGCCCTAAAGAAGCTTTATTCGACTCTCAACCCTCATTCCTTGCTTAGTACTTATATGCAAATCAGACCAACCTCGGGGACTTTCTGTGACATGCACATGGTTGAAATTAGTGTTCTTGGGAAACTCAAGGTGACAGTCTCCTACTCCCTCAGTTCACCCACTCTATGCATCGCCTCTTTGAGCCTCTCTGTTCTCTCACAGAATCTTTTATCCACGGGTTCTGTTTAATTTTCTTTTGCAGGTGAAAATTATCAAATCTTGATTTAGTTTCAACTCCATTGTTTCAAACGCTGTGACTTTTAATGGACTCTCCAAACACAATCAGTATTTAAGGAACGAATACAATAAGCAATTTAGAGTTCAGTGACATCGAACTAAGTGAAAACATTAGGACGTTTGGGAAGTAAATGCAGTTTTCACTTCCATCTGTCTGGATATCCCTTTTTTGAACATCATTTTCTCCTTCTTCTTGTCCACCCTGCTTTGCCAGCAAATGTTCCTGTCTCTAGCTCTCTGAGACTGAATGAAGGTCAGTGTGACATTGAAATTTGGGAACTGGAAGGGCTTACTTACACCTTCCTTTGCATTACATTTCACTTATTCATTCTCTTGTTCAACTAAGTGGTTTTGTTAGTGTGTGTGTTGCTTTGTAATGCGAGGTATTGAATCCAGGGCCTTATGCATGCTGAACAAACCCTCCACAACTGAACTACTCTCCCACTGTCCTCAAAAAATGTTTTTTGAAGTCAATATAGACTTTCTTGTTACATAACTTCTTCTGGTTTATCCCAATATTGTTTGAGCATGTGTCTGTTTCCCTGTCTGTGGTCACACCCTTCAGGAAGAAACCTTGGGTTGTGGATAATACTGAAGCACATGCACAGAACTCAACTTAATAGTTTAGGAATTTAAGGCTGCCCAGCTTCTTGCTCTACAGTTAAAGCAAATCAATAAGCTGGAATGTAAGGGACTTTTCCAATGTCATCTTTTTGGTCATTGGGAAATACCAAATGAACCATTAACCTTTAGTTCTTTCTGTAGGATGTATCTAATTCAAATATGAATCTTTGGCATTGATATTGGAAAGGAAACTGGTTTACATTTTAATGTGTGGTTTTGTTTTGCTTTTTTAGGCATTCTTCATTCATAAGTGTGGTGGGGGTGACAGTGGGTGGCAGGAACATCCTCCCTGTGCTCTTTCACTCCCAGTACAAGACTCCACTTAGGGGAGAGGAAGAACTCTACCATGGCCCAGGAAAGCTGGAGCACTGAGAAGATTTGGCTCCTGAATAAGGAGTTCTCAGGATCCTACGAGCGTTCTCCTCAAATCTTTGAATACAGAAAATTAATAAATCATTTGTTTGTGTCTTCTGAGACAAAAATAAACCCAAAACAGAAGCAGAGAAAATCAGCTACCATCATGCTTAGTTGCATTTTACCTCAACATGTTACACACTCATGCGGCTTCTGTTCTTTCTGTCACTGAGGGCACCTGACATCTAGGACAGGCTCCTGGGCCCTGTTCCATCACGAGAGCAGTGCTGTTCAATGGTTCCTAACAGCCTTTCAGAGAACATACAGACACTGAACTTTATCCTGTTGGAAACTGTGCCCCACACCTGGGCTGGAAACCTGAGCTTCTCGGGTGATCTCACCCTTTCTAAGTGCACCATCTTCTGCTCATTGCCAAGGCTTTAGCTCCAGCCACAGAGAGAAGGGTCACAGTGGGAATGGCCCAGCTGTTGGAGGTAGGTGATATTTCCTCCCACATGTTTATGCAGGCTCCTTTGAGAGTGTCTTTAAATATTTACCAAGTGCTGGTCAACCAAAGCAAGGTCCCTTCTCTTGCAACTCCCATGACTAATCTGAGCTGCTGTTGGATTCTCCTTGCCCCTTTGAGCAGACCTTCTGGTCGGTGCCCTTTAGGAGCTGGTCTGCTGCCAGTTTCCTCCCCTGGGATTTTACCCCCTAGAATGGTGAGGGTGTGTGACTGCTGATCCCTGGAGCAGGTACAGCTCATTCACCAGAGACACACCCTCCAGTACCAAGAAGAGACAACTCCAGTGGAATAACTCCACCATCACATCCTCAGACATCAAGATCAGGACTAGCACACATTTGAAATTTATTCTTTAATTATGTTTATTTTAATTGATATCTAAAGTTATTAAAAATACATGCTTTCATAGGCACCTGCTGTAGACTATCATTTGAAGTGTGCTATTTTTGTTTATGTTGCATTTGTTTAACTCTGTAAAGTTAACATCTAATGGTCTAATACAGAACTGAGTGGCCAATCGCAAGGGAAGAGAAAGGATAAGCAGGGCTGGCAGGTAGAGAGAATATATAGAAGGAGAAATCTAGGAAAGAAGGAGAAGTAGCCAGAGAAAGAGGAGGAGTACAGGAGCCAGCCACCCAGCCACACAGCAAGCCATGGAGTAAGAGTAAGATTTACAGAAGTAAGAGAATGGGAAAAGCCTAGAGGCAAAAGATAGACTGGATAAGTTCAGTAAAGCTGGCTAGCAACAAGGCAAGCTAAGTCCAGGCATTTATAATTAAGAATAAGCCTCCATGTGTGATTTATTTGGGAGCTGGGTGGCAGGCCTGCAAAGAGACAAAGAGTAAAAAAACAGCAACAGTACCACCTAATATTTCAGGATATGTATATATTATGTGATATTTAAATTGGGTTAAATATCTTTATTGCCTCAAATGTCTATCATTCCCTTATGGTAACATTCTTTTCAGCTGTTTGAAATACACCATATATTCTTGATACTCCCCTGTACAACATCACACTGGAATATCTAATCCCTCTAATTGTGACTTGCCTAATCGATAATCAACTTTTCTTTATACTGTCTTCTTCCAGCTCCATGCTCCTCCAGCTTGGCTAACCACAAATGTACTCTCGATTTCTACAAGACTGACTGTTCTAGATTCTATAAATGTGTGAGAGCATGCAGTAGTTGTTCCTCTCTGCTTGACTTACTTCACTTAGTGTAATGACCACCAATTCCATTCATGTTGTCACATGTGAAAAGATTCTATCTGCCATGTGGTTGAATAGAATTCTATTGAGGCATGTGCCACATTCAGCAAATCCATTAATCATTTGATGGATACTTAAGATTATTTCCATTGCTTGGCTACTGTGAACAATATTGCTATAAACATGGAAGTGTGGGTTTCTCTGTGACATGCTAATCTCATTTCCTGTGGGACGTGGATCATATTTGCTGGATCATATAGTACTTGTGTTTTTAATGTAGGGAGGAATTGATAGAATCCCATTTATATTAATTACTTTTTACTTTGCTGTGACAAAATACCTTACATAAACAGATTAAATGATAAGGATTTACCTGAACGCATCGTTTGACAGCCTCCCAGGTTGTCTTGGGGGAGAAGGCATGGCAACAACCGTGGCTTATTGCTCATAGCAGCAGACAGAAAGCAGAATGCAACCAGGTCCCAAAGCAGCTATAATCAAGGCCCGCCCCAGTGATTCACTTCTACCAGCTAGAGCCTCACATCCTTAAGTTACTACAACCACCAAGAACAGCACCACTGGCTTGGGCCTGTGCTCAAATACATGATGCTCTGAGGAGCACTTTGTGTTCAACTATAACTTGAATCATGAGTTTGAAACGGCCCTTTAGCCCTTGTCATATTAAGTCTTTCTATTAACAGTCATTAATAATGGGATACGGTTTGGATTTTTGTTTCCCTGGTTGTTAGTGAAGCTAGTGGTTTTTTTTCTTTTGAGAAATGTCTAGCTAGGTCTTTTTGGGTTTTGATTTTTGCTATTGAGTTTCTGCAATTCTTTTTATATCCAATGTGTTAACCCCTTGAAAATATATAGACTGGAAGTGTTTGATCAGATTCTAACAGTTGCCCTTCACTTCGATTATTCCTTCCTTGGCTGTGTAGCAACACTTCAGTTTGATGTCATTTCTCCGGCTTCTGTTTTGTTTCTTGTGCTTTTAGGAACCTGCCCCCCCCCCAAAAAAAAAAAAACATTTCCCCATTCTGTTTCCATGCAGCATTTCTCCTGTTTTCTTCCAGTAATGTCATAGATTCTAGTCTAATATTTATGTCTAGAATCCAGTTAGGGTTGCATTTTGGGAATGGTGAAAACTAGTGTCAGTTTCATTCTGAATTTACCAGAAAGATTCTTCTGCCTCTGATGTGTGCTCTTCACATTTTAGTGGAAAGTGGCTGGTGACATGTGACTTTGCTTCTTGACTCTCTATTGTGTTTACTGATTAACTCTGTGTCTCTTTTCCTTATAATACTATGTTCTTTTGATGACTACAGCTTCTTACTATATCCTGAAGTCAAGGAAAATAGCAATTCATGCATTTTTATATTTTTGCTCAAAATTACATTGCCAATTTGGATTCTTGTGACTCAACGCAATTTTTAGGAATATTTCCCAGTTCTTAGAAGAATGTCATCAGCATTTTGACAAGGCTTGCACTTAATATGTAGATCAATTTGAATAATACGAATGTTTAAAACATACTGAGTTTGGGATCAGTGAGATTCTTGCCACCAATCTCAACAAATTCAAAAATTTCACTGGGTGGAAGGAGAGAACAGACTCCTATAAGTTCTCCTCTGACTTCCATATGTGTGCCATGGTATATGCACTCCTGCACACAGCACAAATACAAGCAATAAATAAATCTAATCATGAATTTTACAAAACATATTCAAATGTCCAATCCATGAACATGGAATGTTTTTTCACTTTCCACTTTTTTAGTGTCCTCTTCAGTATCCCACACCCATGGTTTTCATTGTAGAGCTCTCTTATGTCTTTGGTTAAACTTATTCGTAAACAATATTTTCATATCTA